GTGCTGGGATTACAGGTGTGAGCTGTCACGCTCAGCCTCACATATTCATTTATTTATTGTTTCCTCCCACTAGAAGGTAAGCTTAATGAGACTAGGAACTCTGTCTGCTGAGTTCAATTACTGTATTCTCAGCACCTATTAATAGAAGAGTGCCTAACACACAGTAGGCACTCAATAAATGTTTATGAGATGAATGAATAATGGATCTAAGGGGATGGGGAAGGGATTTTGTATGCCCCTGGAATTGACAAACATTCCATTCCCAAGGGTGGTGGTGGTGATGGAAATGGAGTTGGCCAGAGTCTGTTCCAACCCTGGGACTAGAGGAGGTTGTGAGTCTATGGAGTGGTGATGGTGGTGGTGGTAGCAGCAGTGATGTTAGGGGTAGTGAAATGGACAAGGCATATTTGCTAGATTGAATGAATGTAATTTTTTTTTTTTTTTTTTGAGATGTAGTCTCACTTTGTCCCCTAGACTGGAGGGCAGTGGCACGATCTTGGCTCACTGCAACCTCTGCCTCCTGAGTTCAAGCGATTCTCCTATGTCAGCCTCCTGAGTAGCTGGGACTACGTGTCACTACACCTGGCTAACTTTGGTATTTTTAATAGAGGCGGAGTTTCACCTTGTTGGCCAGGCTGGTCTTAAACTCCTGACTCAGGTGATCCAACTGCCTCAGCCTTCCAAAGTGTTGGGATTACTGGCGTGAGTCACTGCACCCAGCCATGAATTGTTTGTATATGTCTTTCTTACTTTCAGAAAATAAAATGTGCAGCCATTTGATCTTTAAGTCAGAAAAGTTAGGGAATGGTTGTTTACATTGCAAAAGGAATCTTTGCTTTGTAAAAGGGCGTAGGCAGAGGCTGGTTTAGCTGTAACCCAAACAACCGAAGGAAGGCTCGGGGCACTCAAGCCTATCCGCTAGTTACATTATAGGGTGTTTCCAACACTGCTTATTTATAGAGTGTTGTCCAGATACACTTATGGCTGTGTGAAACTTGCATTTACATATAATACATTCTGCTTGTAAGAGTTTCCTCTTCCTGAAAATGAGAGGTTGAGAATACATCGCTCTTGTGACTATGGTCTGTATTTAAAAAAAAAAAAAAAAAGTAATTGAGATCAAGCTAGACGTGGAGAAATATATTTCCTGCTGACTGCCTCTCTCTCTTTTTCTTCTCACCAGGCACAGTGGCTCACGCCTATATTCCCAGCATTTTGGGAGGTCAAGGTGGGTGGATCACGAGGTCAGGAGTTTGAGACCAGCCTGGCCAACATGGTGAAACCCCATCTGTACTAAAAAAAAAAAAAAAACACAAAAAAAATTAGCTGGGCATGGTGGTACAAGCCTGTAGTCCCAGCTACTTGGGAGGCTGAGGCAGGGGAATCACTTGAACCCGGGAGGCAGAGATTGCAGTGAGCCAAGATCACACCACTGCATTCCAGCCTGGAGACAGAGCAAGATTCTGTCTCATTAAAAAACAAAAAGTGTTCTTTTTCTTCTCTTTGTCAGGGTTAAAACCTTCCAGTTGGCTGGGCACAGTGGCTCAGGCCTGTAATCCGACACTTTGGGAGGCCATGAGGTGTAGATCGCTTGAGCTCAGGAGTTAGATACCAGCCTGGGCAACATGACACCCCGTCTCTACTAAAAATACAAAAATTAGCAGGGCACGGTGGCTCACGCCTGCAATCCTAGCACTTTGGTAGGCGGAGGTGTGTGGATCACGTGGTCAGGAGTTTGAGACCATCCTGGCCAACATGGTGAAACCCTGCTTCTACTAAAAATACATAAATCAGCCGGGCATGATGGCGTGTGCCTGAAATCCCAGATACTCAGGAGGCTGAGGCAGGAGAATCACTTGAACCAGGGAGGTGGAGGTTGCAGTGAGCTTAGACCGCACCACTGTACTCCAGCGACTTGGGAGGCTGAGGCAGGAGCATCGCTTGAACCTGGGAGGCAGAGGTTGCAGTGAGCTGAGATTGCGCCACTGCACTTCAACCTGGTGAGAGAGAGAGACTCTGTCTCAAAAAACAAAAATGAAATTAACCAGGCGTGGTGGTGGGCACCTGTAATCCCAGCTACTCCAGAGGAGGAGAATCACTTGAGCTGGGTAGGTGGAGGTTGAAGTGAGCCTGGGCAACAGAGCAAGACCTTGACTCAAAAAAAAAAAAAAAAACAAAAAAAGAAAACAACTCCTGATATTCTATAGTGCTAGAAATAGATTTGATAGTGGCCCTGCCCTCTAGGAACTGAAAATGGAATGCAAGAGGCCAGACTAACATACCAGTCACACACTAGGATAGATACAACCAGTGTGATTTACAGTGCCCAGAGAAGGAGCCCTAGCATATTTCTCCAGCTCACTTGGATGGTGTCCAATTTTTTTTCTCATTTTAAAATAAAACTAAGGACAAGGCTTTCCATTCCAAAATATAAAATTTCATTTTTAATGCATATTTCTTTGTCTCAATTGTCTTTTGCATTTTCCCCATGTGGCACAGGAGCACATTATTCTAAGTGTAAGTGGTAGATAACAGGTATTTTGAAGAGAAAATTTTGATAGCGAAAACAATTTTTTTTAAGGAGTCTCCCTCTGTCACCAGGCTGGAGTGCAGTGGCACGATCTCGGTTCACTGCAACCTCCACCTTCCAGGTTCAAGCGTTTCTCCTGCCTCAGCCTCCGGAGTACCTGGGACTACAGGCTCGTGTCACCACGCCCAGTTAATTTTTTGTATTTTTAGTAGAGATGGTGTTTCATCATGTTGGCTAGGATGGTCTTAATCTCTTGACCTCGTGATCCGCCTGCCTCAGCCTCCCAAAGTGCTGGGATTACAGGCATGAGCCACCACGCCCGGCTTCGAAAACAGTTTTTAAGGAAATTTTGAAGGAACAAGTCAGGCAAAGAGGCCCCAAAGGTCAAATGACAGGCTAGGCCTGCACCTGAGAAAACGAGAAAGTACCACTTTCCCATTTCCAAACATTATAACCAACATTTCTCTATCCGATTCTGAAAACCCTGTAAGAAAGGCAAGGCAGATGGTTTTATTCCCATTTCATTTCAAGACAGTGAGTGACGATGTACCCAAGGCATACAGTATGCAGGTACACATGGCTGATAGATGTTGGAAACTGGCTTTCCCAACCTTTCTCTTTTCCTTGCCTCGAGCTCTGTCCTGGACTTAGGAATCCCACTGCGGATTTGGAGTGGACAAGACTTGAGCCTTGAAGGACAAGAATGCAGGGAGGGATGGTCCTGAGGAGGAAGCAGCTTCAGCTTCTAGGTCTTGGGATCTTGGGTGGGGAATAGGCTGCCTGGGGAAGGGCTGAATTGAAGGAGGAGCTGCAGGTCTGACTGAGGGAATGGAGAGGGGGTCTCAAAAAGAAGCCAGGCAGGCTGCCTTCTTCCCAGATCCAGAATGGCACCCCTTCTAAAATCAGACTCACTTCCGTATATCCTGGGAATGAAGCCCCTTCTCCTTTCTGCTTTTACTATATTATTCTAATCCTCAAAGGGTTAAGCGGCTTTCACACGATTTTTTCCATCTCCCAGGTAACTCGGGCAGCTGCTTCGTGCTGGAAATAAATAAAAGTCCCAATTTCCCAGTTCGTGCACTTAGCAATGCACCCCAGCAGCCCCTCCACCCCTCAGCAGAGAAGCACAGCCCTTCGGATAAAAGGTGCCTGGGGGCGAGGCTGCAAGTTGGCAGGTGCAGGGGAATCGGGGGAGGAGGGCGCTGGGGAGGCGGCAGAGAGACTGCCCTTTCCCTGGGTCCCTCCACCCGGCTCTGGGTCCAGCAGGTTCGCCTCGGGGCCGCTGCCCCGGAGGCTGCGGGGAAGAGGAAAGAAGTGGTGTGCGGGCAAGCAGGCCGCACACACCTGGCGCCTTGTGGAATGAGATCTTAATTAATTATTAAACTGAGTTCCCGCGGGAGGGCGCGGGGCCGTGGCAGGCAGGGCGGGAATGGCTGGGTGGGGGCTGGGGCAGGGACAGGGAGGAAGTGGGGGCGAAGAGTGGGCGCGGGGCGCCGGCCCAGCCCCCAAGACCCTGACAGGAAGGAAGGCGACCCTCGGTGGGCGGGGCGGGGGATGTCGCCGCGAGGGGTGGGTTTGCGGGCGTTCTCGGGGACCCCTGGCGTGAGGGCGGGAGGGTAATGCCGGAGGAGGCGGCCGGGGTGAAGGGAAGGGGACGGGGCTGCGAGGTCCCCTCCCCCCGGGGTCTTGATCTCAGAACAGTAGCCGCTTGTCTTCCCAGGACTGGGGGAGGAAGCGGCCGGAGGAGAGGAGGGGGCGCGCGGAGGGAGGGGTCCCATTATTTGGCCTCCTCAGCTCCTCCGCTGCTCCTTGGAAGGGGAGTGGGCGACTCGGCCTCCGCTTCTGAGGAGGACGCGGGGGGTGCCCAGACAAAAGGCGCTTGTGCCTTTAAGGCGGGGAGTCCGGGAGCCGGCGGGGAGGGGACTTCTGGATCCGGGGTAGAGGGCGGCTGCGCTGGACAGCTCGGGAGGGGGCGTGGGCCGGGCGGACGGCGAACGGCGGGCGGGACGGCCGGGACGCGCGGGCTCGGAGAAGGACCGCGGGACGGCCGGCCGGCCGGCCGGAGCCCGCGGGGGCGGCGGGGCGGGGGCCCGGGGCCGGCGCGAAGTCCGGCCGGCAGGTGAGCGCGCCGAGGGCTGGGAAGTGCAGCCCGGGATCCCGGGGCGCCGGGGCTGGAACGCACCCGCGCGGCTCCCGACTAGAGTTTGTGGGTGGGGGCGCCGAAGCCTAGGACGGGTCGTCTTGGCAGTGTTTGGCGGGTTGCCCGAGGCAGTTGGGGTTGGCACAGGGAAGTCACGGAGGCGCTGGGATCGAGGACACCTAGGTCCGGGGCTCACTACCCGCGTCGCCCGCCGCCTGCCTCCTGCCTCCCTCCCTCCCTCCACAGGGCGAGTTCCAGGCTTGCCCGGAGGAGGGGGACCTGGCACGGACTGGGGGAGGGGCTGGCCTGAGGTTTTTTGCTGTGGGGCTAGTCTCTGAGTTTGTGGGAGAATGTGATTCCATTTTGGGGAGAGGAACCGGCCTGGGCAGAGGGAGGGATGCCCTCTGTCTGCGGGAGTCCCTCTCCCTCCCGTCTCCCATCATCCCAAACCGTGGGAATGAAAGGGGTGGGGTCGGCTCCCCATAACCCCCAAGGTCTGTTGTAGGGTGGGCAGGGGAGCTGACTTTATTCAAAGCAGGCTCTGGGGCTCGACTGAAAGGCTAGAGGTGGAATCAGGCGTGGGAGCCTCTTTGCCCATATCCTCCCCTTACCGGACTACCCTTGTGAGCTGGAGGGACCTGGTGTGGGTTGCATGGTAAGGGGTGATGTGGGAGCCTCCTGCAGTCTTTAGGGCGAGCGAGGACGAGGACAGGGAAGGGGGAAGATGGCAGCGGGCACTGGACAAATACAGGGCCTGGGAAGCTCCTTTACATCTGGAAAGGCCCAGAATTGAAGAATTGAGGCCCACGTCCCAGTTTGGTGGGTGGTGCTGGCACTGCTGGGCCCTGCCTGGGCAGTGCCTCTTGCCATGAACTTTCTGAAGTCGTTTTAAATTCCCTGGAGCCTCCTTTTGCCAAGGAGGGCAGGGTCAGATGGGCCCTGGGGATGGGATAGACAGGAGGTGGCCAGGAAGGTTTGGTGAGGCAGTGGGCAGAGCCATCCTTAGGGCCGGGCCTTGGTCTTGGCTGGCTCCAGACTCTGGTCTCAGGCTGATCAGGGTTTGGGAGGGACTTGAGGTCTGGGAGGCACTGAGCCTGGGCCTGCCAGGCTGAATGGGACATGGCTTCAGCTGTGGGAGCGGGTGGTGTGGAGAGCAGCAGATCTGTGAGAGAGCAAAGGGACCAACACTCAGGGGAGGAGGAGGTCAGAGGTGCAAGGCTTTGGAGCCTGACTCTGGGGAGGAGAGAGGTGGTCTGTGCTCCCAGGGTTCATAGTGATGGGTTGCTGGACAGAGTGGGTTGGGGGACCATATAGAGAAGTTTTGTGGCTTGGAACAGTGCCCTCCCCTGTTCCCTGCCATACCAGTCTGGCATGGAGTGCCAGAAGTGCTGGGAGGCCGGCAAGTTCTCCGGTTGGGAGGATGGGCAGTGCCTGGAGTGAAGCCCAGGGTGGGATGGTTGCAGTTGATTGGACAATTACACAGCTCTGAAGCTATCCCCTTGTGGGGTCAGAGTGTTCCTGGGAGGGTCATGCATTCTCCTGGATAGTGTCTGCCCCTTTCTCTGTGGGTATGAGCCAGATGCTAGGATATGTTTCCAGGGGGCTGGGAACATGGCCAGAAACTAGTCCTTTGGGAACAGGTCTGGGCCAGTGGTGGGGGCGGGGTGCAGAGGGGAGATAAGAACAGGGAAGGGGACTGGTGAATGGGAAGAAGCTGAAGCAAAATGTGGGTGGTAGATGGTGGTGGGAAACCTGCTTACTCTGGGCTCTGTCTCTAACAGCTCTGGGGACTGACAGCTAAGGACACAGGGACTGATAGAACCAGGTATCTGTCTGGCTGGAAAGACATGTGTTCTTGCCCATGATTTTCTCATCTTTCCATCTCTTGATGATGACAGAGGTTTGGGCTTAAAGTGTTGTACAGTGAGGAAAAGAACTAATATTTTTCAGGTGTGTATTTCATGACAGGCATTATTAGATTCTTTCCTGATACCATTATTATTTCCATTTTACAGATGAAGACACTGACATGGAGAGGTTAAATAACTTGCCCAAGGCAGTGTGGCTAGCAAATAATTACTCGAAGGTTTGGAACCTGGTCTCATGCCAAAGAGCATGCTTCTAATGAAGTATTTTGAAGAGCCAGGCTTTCTTTGGTGACCTTTTCCAAATGCCAGCCTGACCAAAAGTCTTGTATTCCTGATCTGTCCTTCCAGATGGTGCTGTTGGTGATGTTAAGAGGTTGGAGGGGCTGAAAGAGAGGGCTCATGCCTGTAATCCCAGCACTTTGGGAGGTCAAGGTGGGAGGATTACCTGAGGTCAGGAGTTTGAGACTAGCGTGGCCCACATGGTGAAACTCTGTCTCTATTAAAAATACAAAAATTAGCTGGGTGTGGTGGTGCATACCTGTAATCCCAGCTACTTGGGAGGCAGAGGCGGGAGGCAGAGGCAGGACGCAGGTGAATCGCTTGAACCCAGGAGGCTGAGGTTGCAGTGAGCTGAGATCGTGCCACTGTACTCCAGCCTGGGTGGGGCAGAGTGAAACTCCGTCTCAAAAAAAAAAAAAGATTGAAGGACATGCTGCTCTGTGGGATATAGGAGAAGGGATGCTGACAGAACTTGTCAGAGGGTGACTCAGGGATGGGGGTTTTGGGGTATGCAGAGAATTCCCCCGCCTGCCTTCTGCTTGTGGGTCCCTAGGTGTCTGCTTCAAGTGCTACTCATCTGGCTTGAGCTCTCTCATTCTGTGGCCACCTGGGGCAAGTGCTAGATGTTCCCCCATCCTATCCCCTAGTGAGTACAAATGTCAGTGCTGCTAGCTCAGCAGGTTCAAGTACAAGGGGCCCCTCAGGGTACTCTGTGAGCATGGAGGAGTGTGACCCTGATGTGGACACAGGCATGCGTGGATGACAGTGCTTTCAGCCTCATATTCTGAACTGGGCTCAGTCAGGAGTCACATTAAAGATATCATCATGGAGTCTTCCCACCTCAGTTAATGACATTTCCTCCAGGAAATATGGGATCTGGGACTGATTGGTTACCATGATCTCTATAACTTGGGCCAGCCATGTAAAACTGCCATGGACCTCAGTTTTTGTTCATATATATTTTTCCTTTCAGTTTTGCACCCCAGGGGGCCACAGGACCAGTTTCTCAGAGGTTTTGGTGAAGATCAGATGGAATTAGGGACGTGAAAGGATCTTGAACAGTTTAAAGCACAGAGAAGGTGAATGGAGTATCATTCATCCATCCAGTCATCCATTCAATTAACATTTATTATCATTATTTTATTTTTTGAGATGGAGTTTTGCTCTTATTGCCCAGGCTGGAATGCAGTGGTGGGATCTTGGCTCACTGCAATTGGATTCAAGCAGTTCTCTCACCTCAGTGTTGCAAGTAGCTGGGATTACAGGCATGCACCACCACGTCTGGCTAATTTTGTATTTTTAGTAGAGATAGGGTTTCTCCATGTTGGTCAGGCTGGTCTCAAACTCCTGACCTCAGGTGATCTGCTCACCTCTGCCTCCCAAAGTGCTGGGATTACAGGCGTGAGCCACCACTCCCAGCTTCAATGAACACTTAATTTAGGTCCTGCTAAGGGTTGCGGATACAGCAGTGAGTACAACAGGTCAAAATCCTTGCTTTCATAGAGCTGACATTCCAATCAGGAGAGACAGACAATGAACACAAAAGAAAAATATATAGAACGGCAGTTGCTGATTAGAGTTATGGAGAAAAAGCATAGAGCTGGGGAAAGAGATGGAGAGCTCCAGGAAAGGGAGTTGCTATTTTAATAGGGTAGTCAGGGAAAGCCTCACTGATAAGGGGACATTCGGGATGTGACCTGGAGGAGCTCTAATTCCAGATATCAGGAACAGCAGGCACTGAGGTCCCAGGCTGGCCTGTGCAGGGTGTGCTGGGAAACAGCAGAGGTTCTTATGCTGGGTGCAGCGAGGAAGCTGAAGAGCCTTAGGATGATCACTGTTAGCTGTTACATTAGCTGCTCCATTCCATTGCCCTTGAGCTTGCTTTCATTCTATCTTTTCAACATATTAATGTATTTATTGAGTCTCTACTTTGAGCCAGGCCCAGTACTTAGCACTGGGGATAAAATGCGGAACAAAATAGATGTAATCCCTACCCTCTCAAACTTAGAGTGAGAAGGGCAGAGATGCATAGTAAATAAGGAATGGTTTAATTATAATTACAGTAAGTACTAAATAAAAAATGAATAGAGGGTAAATGGGACCAAACCTCATCTGGGTGGGGGAGCTGGGAAGTGTCCCTGAGGAAGTTGCATTTAAGCTGTGACCTGAGGGAGAAGTTGAATTTAGCTTGGTGAAGTGCGCATTGTGTGTGAGTGTGGTGAGGGAGGATGTAGAAAGAGATTCCCTTTTGCACAGAGGTCACTGATGGGCAGCTCATGGGCAGAACTCATTCCACAGATGTGATTTATTTTGGCTTGGTGGTATTAAAAATGTGAATTAGTTGCCAACATTTAAAAATCAGGAGATGTCACATTAAAATCCAGATTTTTCTTTTTTTTAAGACGGAGTCTCGCTCTGTTGCCCAGGCTGGGGTGCAGTGGCTTGATCTCAGCTCACTGCAACCTCCACCTCCCAGGTTCAAGCAATTCTGCCTCTACTTCCCAAGTAGCTGGGAGTACAGGCGCCCACCACCATACCTGGCTAATTTTTGTATTTTTAGTAGAGATGGGGTTTTACTATGTTGGCCAGGCTAGTCTTGAACTCCTAACCTCAGGTGATCCCCTTGCCTCAGCCTCCCAAAGTGCTGGGATTACAGGTGTGAGCCACCATGTCCAGCCTAAAATCCAGATTTTTTTTCTTCAGCTTCTGTTGAGAAAAATTGGATTGGGCCCCACTGGGACCCGGTGGCAACAGTCTACTGCTGCAGGGTAGTGCTTGCCCATGTACAGGGTATGAACTCTTCTAGTTCTGAACCATAAGCTGCTTCACTCATTGACTTGGACACTTGAGTTTGTGACACCAACAAATCAGTGCTTTTTAGGGAAATTTTCAAGTATATTGGCTTTGGGGTCAGATAAATCTAGTTTAGAATCTTGGTTCTCTCACTTTTGTGGCTGCTAGATCTTTGGGCAGTCTCCCCTCCCCTCCACCCCCCTTCCCTTTCTCCCCTCCACCCCCCCCCTTCCCCTTCTCCCCTCCACCCCCCTTCCCCTTCTCCCCTCCACCCCCCTTCCCCTTCTCCCCTCCACCCCCCTTCCCCTTCTCCCCTCCACCCCCCTTCCCCTTCTCCCCTCCACCCCCCTTCCCCTTCTCCCCTCCACCCCCCTTCCCCTTCTCCCCTCCACCCCCTTCCCCTTCTCCCCTCCCCCCACCTTCCCCTTCTCCCCTCCACCCCCCGTCCCCTTCTCCCCTCCACCCCCCTTCCCCTTCTCCCCTCCACCCCCCCTTCCCCTTCTCCCCTCCACTCCCCTTCCCCTTCTCCCCTCCACCTCCCTTCCCTTCTCCCCTCCACCCCCCCTTCCCCTTCTCCCCTCCACCCCCCTTCCCCTTCTCCCCTCCCCTCCCCTCTCCTCTCCTCCCTTCCCTTCCCTTCCCTTCCTTCTTTCCTTCCCTTCCCTTCTTCCCTCCCCTCCCCTCCTCCCTTTTCCTCCCCTCCCCTCTTCTCTCCTTCCCTCCCCTCCTCTTCTTCCCCTCCCCCACCATACCCTCCCCTCCCCTCCCCTCCCCTCCCCTCCCCTCCCCTCCCCTCCCCTCCCCTCCCCTCCCCTCCTCTTCCCTCTTTTTTGTTTTCTTTCTTCCATTCCCTTGACTCCTCCCGCCCTTCCTTCTTTCCTTCCTTTTTTTTTTCAGGCTGTGGCTGTTGCCAAGGCTAGAGTGCAGTGGTATACAATCCTGGCTCACTGCAGTCCCCAGTGCCTGGGCCCAAGCAATCCTTCCACTTTAGCTTCCTGAATGGCCAGGTCTGTAGGTGAATGCCAGTAGAGGTGGGGTTTCACCTTGTTGCCCAGGCTAGTCTTGAACTCCACACCAGGCCAATTTTATTTTTTGAGATGGAGTCTCACTCTGTCACTTAGACTGGAGTGCAGTGGCATGATCTTGGCTCACTGCAACTTCTGCAGTCTGAGTTTAAGTGATTCTCCTGCCTCAGCCTCCTGAGCAGCTGGGATTATGGGTGCCTGCAACTGTGCTGGACTAATTTTTTTTTTTTTTTTTTTTTTTTTTTTGAGATGGAGTCTTGCTCTGTCACCCAAGCTGGAGTACAGTGGTATGATCTTGGCTCACTGCACCCTCCGCCTCCTAGGTTCAAGTGATTCTCCTGTCTCAGCCTCCTGAGTAGCTGGGATTACAGGCCCACACCACCATGCCCGGCTAATTATTTTTTTGGATTTTAGTAGAGATGGGGTTTCACCACGTTGCCCAGGGTGATCTCAAACTCCTGAGTCTGGGCAATCCACCCACCTTGGCCTCCCAAAGTGCTGGGATTACAGGCATGAGCCACCACACATGGCTAATTTTTGTATTTTTAGTAGAGATAGGGTTTCACCAACTTTGCCAGGCTGGTCTTGAACTCCTAACCTTGTGATTCACCCGCCTGGGCCTCCCAAAGTGCTGAGTACAGGCATGAGCCACCATCCACAGCGCCCAGCCCAGGCTAATTTTTTAAAATTTTAATAGAGACAAGGTCTTGCTATATTGCCCAGGTTGGTCTCACATTCCTGGCCTTAAGCCATCCTCCTATCTCGGCCTCCCAAAGTGCTGGGATTACAGGTGTGTGAGACACTGTGCCTGGCCCTGGGCAAGTTTCTTTGCCTCACTGTGTCTTTGTTTCTCACCTGTTGAATGGGGATACCCTTGCCCACCTCCAAGTAATTGTATGAGGATGAAGCTCATGGCTTGGCAGTGGGAAGTGTTCGGGTAATGAGCTACTACTAGTCGTGGCAATGGCTGTGATGGTGGTATTAATACCATTCCTGTTGGATGGTCTCTAACATCATCTCCTTCCTTCTCTACCAGCAACATGTCATGGTTTAGTGGCCTCCTGGTTCCTAAAGTGGATGAACGGAAAACAGCCTGGGGTGAACGCAACGGGCAGAAGCGTTCACGGCGCCGCGGCACTCGGGCGGGTGGCTTCTGCACGCCCCGCTATATGAGCTGCCTCCGGGATGCAGAGCCACCCAGCCCCACCCCTGCAGGCCCTTCTCGGTGCCCCTGGCAGGATGACGCCTTCATCCGGAGGGGCGGCCCAGGCAAGGGCATGGAGCTGGGGCTGCGAGCAGTGGCCCTGGGCTTCGAGGACACCGACATGACTCCGGCAGGGGGCGGGACGGCTGAGGTGGCCCCCGACGCTGTGCCCAGGAGCCGGCGATCCTGCTGGGGGCGTCTAGTGCAGGTGTTCCAGTCGAAGCAGTTCCGTTCAGCCAAACTGGAGCGCCTGTACCAGCGGTACTTCTTCCAGATGAACCAGAGCAGCCTGACGCTGCTGATGGCGGTGCTGGTGCTGCTCACCGCGGTGCTGCTGGCCTTCCATGCCGCGCCCGCCCGCCCTCAGCCTGCCTATGTGGCCCTGCTGGCCTGCGCCGCCGCCCTATTTGTGGCTCTCATGGTGGTGTGTAACCGGCATAGCTTCCGCCAGGACTCCATGTGGGTGGTGAGCTACGTGGTGCTGGGCATCCTGGCGGCAGTGCAGGTGGGGGGCGCCCTCGCAGCTGACCCGCACAGCCCCTCTGCAGGCCTCTGGTGCCCCGTGTTCTTCGTCTACATCGCCTACACGCTCCTCCCCATCCGCATGAGGGCTGCTGTCCTCAGCGGTCTGGGCCTCTCCACCCTGCATTTGATCTTGGCCTGGCAACTCAACCGTAGTGATGCCTTCCTCTGGAAGCAGGTAGGTGTCCAGAGAGGCAGGGGTGGAGGGCAGCAGGTGGAGAATTTCTCACCTCATAAGCAGGTAGGGACTTAGTAAGGAAGAGCGGGAATTGTGGGTGGATGTGGGGTGCAGGGATGTCTGGCTGTATCTGAGAGGAGGGGCAGGTGGGGGAGGCCAGGGTTCAGGGGTCTGCCTCCATGTGGGATCTAGGGTACAGGGCACTGCTCAGGGGAAGGAGGGCCCCAGAACCCAAGCTTGAGAACTCTGTCACCATGGGTCCCGGTCTCCAGCTCTTTAGCCTGCTAACATAGTGCAGTCTGTAGAGACAGAATGTGGGGCTGGAAGCAGGGGTGTGGTATTTAGCCCCAGGGCTGTGGTGGGGAACAGGCAGTGCAGGCTGTGTCCAGGTTTTGGCATCTCTGTTGGCAAGCTGACACCTGAGACTCAGGTGCTGGTGCCATCCCTGGAGAGCAGCTCTAGGTCGGTAACTGGCGGTATAGAGCAGGTTTTGGATATTGTCAGTGAGGGAGGAGTCACCTCTTTCCTGGACCAAGGCCACTTCTGGGAGGACAGGGAAGGTGAATAGCTGGGGTCAGTTCCCTCTGGGCGGGATGTGGTTTGAAGGTGGTTAAAGAGAGGAACATAAGTCTGATCATATCCCACCTTCCTCCTGCTGGGCACCAGGGGCCAGGCCGCCCTGCCTTGAGGTTCTCTGCCCATGCCTGCTCTGCCTCCAGTCTCCAAGTGTGTGCGAGGTGGGGCTCCACATCTCCATGTGGAGTGGCTGCAGGCCAAATGCTATCTAATGGGCTATATTCTTCTCTGTGGGATCTTAAACAACTAGCCTAGCCTCTGCCAGCCTTAGTTTCCCAGTCTGCAAAGCTGGGATAAAAATAGTATCTAGCTCATGTTGTTGTTGGGGCCCCACCCTTTCCTAGAGTAGAGTAGAACTCGACTGGGCAGTGTTCTCACCTGGGGGCAGGGAGGTGTGGGGAGTGCTGGAAGGCATGGACGCAGGGAAGGGGTTTCTGGGAAGTGCCTTTCAGAAGGACATGTTTGTGGATCTGCCATCTCATGTCATCCCCTTGCCCAGGAAGCAGAGGCCAGGATGTCTTTCCTGGCTGGTCCTTCAGGTGCTGCTGTAGTCACAGCCCTGCCATTAGGGCACCTCCCAGGTCCTCCACTGGACCCTATCTAGAGAGTGCTGTCTGCTTTCTTCCTCAAGGTTTTGAGGGCTCATGGCCTGGTGCCCACCCTGCCCCACCCACAGAGAGAAAGTTGCCTGGGGCTCCCAGGGTGAGAAGCTGGGTTTTCTGGCATGATGCCCTTCTCCGCCCAGCCTGTGCTACAGAACAGAACGTACTTTTTTTTTTTGAACTTCAAGGCAGGGCGGCCAGGCCCCTGGTGCCCGGCAGGAGGAAGGTGGGAACCTCGCTCTGTAGCCAGGCTGGAGTGCAGTGGTACAATCTCAGCTCACTGCAACCTCCACCTGCCAGGTTCAAGAGATTCTCCTCCATCAGCCTCCTGAGTAGCTGGGACTACAGGTGCGCACTACCACACCCAGTTAATTTTTGTATTTTTAGTAGAGGTGGGGTGTCACCCTGGGGATGTTGACCGGGATGGTCTCGAACTCTTGACCTCATAATCCGTCCACCTCAGCTGCCAAAGTACTGGGATTATAGATGTGAGCCACTGTGCCCAGCCAAAACATACCTTTTTTTTTTGAATTGGAGTCTTTCTCCATCACCCAGGTTGGAGTGCTGTGGCGAGATCTTGGCTCACTGGGTTCTTGCTCCACCTCCTGGGTTCAAGCAATTCTCCTGTCTCAGCCTCCCAAGTAGCTGGGACTACAGGTGCCTGACACCATGCCCAGCTAATTTTTGTATTTTTAGTAGAGACAGAGTTTCACCTTGTTGGGCAGGCTGGTTTCAAACTTCTGACCTCAGGTGATCCACCCACCTCAGCCTCCCAAAATGCTGGGATTACAGGCTTGAGCCACCATGCCCAGCCAAATGAACATTTTTTTTTTAATTCAGAATTTCGCTCTTGTTGTCCAGGCTAGAGTGCAAAGGCACAATCTCAGCCCACCACAACTTTCACCCCCCAAGTTCAAATGATTCTCCTGCCTCAGCCTCCCGAGTAGCTGGGATTACAGGTGTGCACCACCATGCCTGGCTAATTTTGTATTTTTAGTAAAGACGGGGTTTCTCTATGTTGGTCAGGCTGGTCTCGAACTCCTGACCTCAGGTGATTCGCCCCTCTCAGCCTCCCAAAGTGCTGGGATTACATGTGTAAGCCACTGCACCCAACCAAAAGGCCAAACACACCTTTTTTAAAGTAACTTTATAGCCTGTTTGTTTGTGGAGCACTTGCCCATAGGGCACTGTCAGACATCTTAAAGGGCTAGGTCCTTCTGCCCCAAAGATTCAGCCCCAGGCTGGCTCTCAAGCAGGGCTTTATGGCTAGACTGTCCTCCTAGGGAAGGAGCTTAGTGGTGGTGCCTCCTTTCCCCCTTCCCCTCTGGCCAGGTCTGGACTGGGTGGGCATGTCTTCCCTGCTGTCAACTGGCATGGTGCCCAGAGCCAGGCTTGGTGTCTGACTGGGGAGGTGCAGCCCCAGGAAGGCCAGGACCGTGCCCGCCTCTCACCTCCCAGGAGTGCCTGGCTACAGCCTCACACAGTGGATCTCGACAGGCACCTTCTCAGAGCAGTGCCGAGTGACTGCTGCCCCTATGCCAGTCCTTGGGACCAGGGCTGCCGAACCTCCTCTTGGCTGAGAAACAGTCCCTGTGCCCATTGGGTCTGTGGGTTTCTAGATGGGTGGGGTTTGTGGCCTCCTTCGTCTGCTTGGGCAGCCCCTTCCCAGATACAGCCCTGCTCACATTCAGGAAGGAGCCTTTTTCTCCTATCGACCCACTCATTTAGATACACTGTACAGTGTCACCCAGTGACCCAGGAGCAGCTTGGAGTCCCCTCCAGTCCCCTGGCATCCATTTTTTCTCACAGTCAGATAGGGATATATGTGTACAGAATTATTTCAGTCTCGTCCCCTTCCCCTTCCCTCCACCATGACTCACATTTTCCTCTTGGGCTCCTGGGGCCACGAAGGGAAGTTGCCTGGTTTGCCCCCCTTCCCTTTTCCCCTACTGGGGCTATTCTTAGAAACCCCCAAGGGAGATAGTGTGCCCCCCTCTTCACCCCTGCTAGTGGGTGGGGATCTCAGCCTAGTTGATCCTGGGCCTGTGAGCTAGACTGGGAAGGGAAGCTGGGAGGCCATACCAGAGGGCTAGAGCTGGAAATGGCTAGGGGTTAGCCATGTTGCTTAATTTTACCCAAGAGGAAACTGAGGTCCCAAAGAATAAGTGACCTGATCAATTTGCAGGACTAGTTCTAGTTCAAGGCAGAGCCCAGAACCTCTGGCTTCCAGGAAGTGCTACTGCTGTTTCCCTCCCTTCTTAAACCAGAGCCCTGCCCCATCCAACTCAGGGGTGGGGCCGCAAGCGCCAGGTTAATTCCTGAGTTTCCAGAAACACTGAGTCCAGTTTCCCTAAGACTTGCTCTCTAGCTAGTGCCACTGATAATGATTGGGGTCTGAACATTCCTAGGGTGGGGGCCCTAGGCGTAGGGCCTGGCAGGGCCAAGTGTCGGGAGGGAGTTATACCTTGAGGAGTGGCCAGGCATGGTGGACCCCATCCCCAGTTAGGGGATATCCTTTGTATCAGTAGAATTGATGACTCTCAAGCCTGGGCTCTGAGGTTAAGCTTGAGAGCTTAACAGTAGAGTGAGTAGGAATCTTGGAAACCTGGAATGCCCTAGATAGTAGGATTAGGACACAGGATATGGAGTCTGATTGTCCTGGGTTCAAGTCTCACATCAGCCACTACCAGCTGTGTGATCTTGGGCAAGTTACTTGGATTCTCTGTGCCTCAGTCCCTTACCTTTAAAATGGGATATTGTTATCTATTTCATAGCTTTTTTTTTTTTTTAGATGGAGTTTTGCTCTTGTTTCCCAGGCTGGAGTGCAATGGCACCATCTCGGCTCACCACAACCTCCACCTCCTGGGTTCAAGCAATTCTTCCGCCTCAGCTTCCTGAGTAGCTGGGACTACAGGCGTGCACCACCATGCCCAGCTAATTTTTTGTATTTTTAGTAGAGACGGGGTTTCACCATGTTGACCAGGATGGTCTCGATCTCTTGACCTCGTGATCCACCCGCCTTGGCCTCCCAAAGTGTTGGGATTACAGGATTGAGCCACCGCGCCCGGCCTTCATAGCGTTTTAAGAAATGTGTTAGGGGCTGGGCATGGTGGCTTATGCCTGTAATCCTAGCACTTTGGGAGGCCCAGGCAGGAGGATCACTTGAGATCAGGAGTTCGAGACCAGCCTGGCCAACATGGTGAAACATCTCTATTAAAAAGATATACAAAAATTGCCAGGCATGGTGGCGGCCAGCTGTAATCCCAGCTGCTCGGGAGGCTGAGGCAGAGAATTGATTGAATTGGGAGGCAGAGGTTGCAGTGAGCCAAGATTGGGCTTCTGCACTCCAGTCTGGGTGACAGAGAAAAAAAGAAAACAGAAATGAGTTAGTGAGTGTATAGAAGGCACCCACAGAATCCTGCACATGATAGGCAACCAACAAACTAGCCACAGTAATAATAATGACAATGGTGATTGTTGTTACTAAGTTATGTCAAGGCAGGGAGGGGCTTTAGAGATCTTCTCATTCTTCCTCTTTGGGTTATAGATGAGCAAACCTAAGAGAAAGGAGGTGACTTATCCTGGATCACTCACGGGAGAATGTAGAGCTCAGGTCTCCTGGATGCTGTCCTTAAGGATGAGCACCTGCAAAAGCAGCAGCGTTTGTCTTCTGTGAGGGGTGTTTGTGGAGCAGGAGATACAGGGTGCTGGGGCTAGGCCCCATGACTTACCTGGCCCTAGTTGGTGCTTCTGCTCCCAGAAGCTGTGAAAAGATCTCATTTCTAGTCATGGAGGATTCAGGCAGACAGCTAGGATCTGGGGTCCCATGGGTAATGGGAGAGCTATATCGCAGGGGTGGCAATAGCTTGGAAACAGACAGGGTGCAGGACCCTGGCTTCGTTCCTCAGAGAGCCTAGCAAGTTGCGCGAATGTGTGTGTGTGTTTAGGGGGCGGGCAGGGGAGATGGTCACTGTCTGCCTCTGCCACCTTCTTCAGCTCAGTGCCAATGTGCTGCTGTTCCTCTGCACCAACGTCATTGGCATCTGCACACATTACCCAGCAGAGGTGTCTCAGCGCCAGGCCTTTCAGGAGACCCGAGGTTATATCCAGGCCCGACTCCACCTACAGCATGAGAATCGGCAGCAGGTGGGGTTGCTCTCCGTGATCAGGGCCTGTCCCCACCTTACCCCCAAATAAATAACTTGCAGATTGGATCTGCTGCCTTATGCAGCTCTGTGGAGCAGTTTGACAGTTCCTCTGGGTTGTGCGTCACAGAGGCCCTGTGATACTGGGCTTCTGTCCTGTCCAAGGGGAGGAGGGCATAGACAGGAGCACATCTGGGGGCTCAATGGAGGGTGGTCAGAGGGGCTCTGATGGGGGAATGTCAGGCCATACTCCAGAAGGGAAGCTCAGGTCTTCAGAGAAGTCTGGGAGGGCTCTGGCAATGTGGAGAGACCAGGAGGGATTGAAATGTGAGGCCAAGAGGATAGTGATGCCCTATTGGAACCACTGGGCTAGGAGCGGTTGCTGCTGTCGGTATTGCCCCAGCATGTTGCCATGGAGATGAAAGAAGACATCAACACAAAAAAAGAAGACATGATGTTCCACAAGATCTACATACAGAAGCATGACAACGTCAGGTAGGGTGAGGGTAGGAGGATGCCAGGTGGGGCAGAGGTCTGGATGTCTTTGAGGGCTACATGGTCTTTCATCCTCTGCTGTCATCTCTAGCATCCTGTTTGCAGACATTGAGGGCTTCACCAGCCTGGCATCCCAGTGCACCGCGCAGGAGCTGGTCATGACCCTGAATGAGCTCTTTGCCCGGTTTGACAAGCTGGCTGCGGTAAGGGTGCTGGGCCTTGGGGTTGGGCCTGGGTGTTGACTGTGGTGAGAGCATAGCTTTGCTGACTGAAGCTGGGTATTTGGGGACAGATAGAGTGTGCATCGAGGGTGGTGGGCCATGCAGGATGGGTGGGCAAGAGAGTAAAGGTTACCTTTCCCTCCGACTCTTTCCCATTCAGGAAAATCACTGCCTGAGGATCAAGATCTTGGGGGACTGTTACTACTGTGTGTCAGGGTTACCAGAGGCCCGGGCAGACCATGCCCACTGCTGTGTGGAGATGGGGGTAGACATGATCGAGGCCATCTCGTAAGCAGTGCCCCATTCCCAGGCTTCCTGGAACTGTGCATGCCCTGGACTGCTCCGCTTTTTGATGAGACCCCAGATATCCTCAGTTTTGGCTGTTTCTCTGTCTTTGACATCTATCACTGGGGAGGGGAATGAATCTTTCTCCAACCTGTGCGAAGACCCATGTGCACCCTTAGGCTCTAGCCAGCCGAGAGAGCCTGGGCAGTAGGGGAGTTGGGCCATCTGTGCAGGCCAGAGGGAATAACAGTGATTCCTCTTCTCCTAGCTCAGTTCCACAAGATGCTGCTGGGCCCCTGCTGGTGAACACAGTCCTAACATTTGTCCTTGAGCCCCATGCAGCCTTCTACTCATGTCCAACCAAGGCTGTGCTCCCATCCCCTGCATCTGGGTCTGTCCTTGCCCTCTGGACCCTGAGGGGAGTGAAGGGCCTGGGCTGTGTGCTGGCGGAGGGGGAGACTGCCAGGAGCTGACCTGGGGCTGCCTGCTTCCAGGCTGGTACGTGAGGTGACAGGTGTAAATGTGAACATGCGCGTGGGCATCCACAGCGGACGTGTGCACTGTGGTGTCCTTGGCCTGCGGAAATGGCAGTTCGATGTGTGGTCCAATGACGTGACCCTGGCCAACCACATGGAGGCAGGAGGCCGGGCCGGGTGAGTTGGGATGGGTCCAGGTGGTGGGGGGTGGGAACACGGCGGGAGAGCCAGGGGCTCACCCTCTTGGCCACATACAGCCGCATCCACATCACTCGGGCAACGCTGCAATACCTGAACGGGGACTACGAGGTGGAGCCAGGCCGTGGTGGCGAGCGCAACGCATACCTCAAGGAGCAGCACATTGAGACTTTCCTCATCCTGGGTGCCAGCCAGAAACGGGTCAGGGCCAGGGCAGGGCTGGGGGCAGGGGAGCAGGAAGAGGGACAAATGGGGAGAGCAGGCCAAGGCCTCCTCTGGCCCCCTCTTCTGAGCCTGTACCCCCCATGCTGCCTGCACAGAAAGAGGAGAAGGCCATGCTGGCCAAGCTGCAGCGGGCCCGGGCCAACTCCATGGAAGGGCTGATGCCACGCTGGGTTCCCGATCGTGCCTTCTCCAGGACCAAGGACTCCAAGGCCTTCCGCCAGATGGTGAGGGACCTCATTTTCTTGGCTCCTTCAACACCCCATCCCTGTCCTTTCTTCTTGTGGCTGCCATCTCCATGTATGCTTTCTGGTATTGGAGCTGTGGGAGGATTTCATCCCAGGTGTCCCAGTGCTCCCAGAGGATATGGTGGGGATACCCTCAGCACAGTGTTGGGGTGAAGGAAGGAACTGCAGAGGTGAAGGTTGTTGACCCTTTACCTCACTCCACACTCTGTCCCTTTCTCCAGGGCATTGATGATTCCAGCAAAGACAAGTAAGTCAGGTTACTAAGGAGGGAGAAGGCACTTGTACCCTGGGATGGAGCTGGGGGGAGCTGAGATCTTCCTTTCCCCTGACCTTAGGTGTGTGGTGTGGGAGCATGGGCCACACCCCTGGTTCTCCCTCCCTCCCTCCCCCGGGTGCTGCCCGTACCTTCCCTTTCATTGTTTCTCACGTGGCCATCCCCATGCACCTGGTGAAGCCATGTCCCCTGTCCTCAGCCGGGGTGCCCAAGATGCCCTGAACCCTGAGGATGAGGTGGATGAGTTCCTGAGCCGTGCCATCGATGCCCGCAGCATAGATCAGCTGCGGAAGGACCACGTGCGCCGGTTTCTGCTCACCTTCCAGAGAGAGGATCTTGAGAAGAAGGTTTGGGGGATACAGGGCAGAAGGACAAGTGCTGGGGGAGGGGCAGATCGCAGCAGGGGTGGCTGATCACAGGTGAGGGCACAGCTGTTTCTGGGGGATGGAGAGGGGACCACCACAGAACAGGGTGAGGATTTTGTCAATTGAGTCAACTGCATCTGCTCCCTGTTGAGGCCCCTGGTAGTGCCCTGTCCTTGCTGTCCCCGCCTTCCTTAGGAAGGGCCCAGCACCCAACTCAGCCTCCTCTCCCTCAGTACTCCCGGAAGGTGGATCCCCGCTTTGGAGCCTACGTTGCCTGTGCCCTGTTGGTCTTCTGCTTCATCTGCTTCATCCAGCTTCTCGTCTTCCCACAGTGAGAGCCCTGCCCGTCCTCTCAGCTTCTCTCTTCTCCGCTACTTCCCAGAAGCTTCCTAAATACCCACATGAGCCCACAATCCCTGGAGCCTGCATCCCTGCTTGTTCCGGAGGGTGGGACAAGAATGCCCAGATCTTCCAAAATTAAACCATTTTCCTGGCCCTGTTCTACCCCAGCTCCACCCTGATGCTTGGGATCTATGCCAGCATCTTCCTGCTGCTGCTGATCACCGTGCTGATCTGTGCTGTATACTCCTGTGGTTCTGTATGTAGGGGGACTTCTGAGGCTGTTGGGAATGGCAGGCCAGACTCCAGACAGGGAGGGGGTCTGGGGAGAGGGAGGAGAAGGCCATGCCTCTTCCACTGGGCCCCATCCCTGGTTGGCCTTCCTCCTCGGCTGATACAACCTTCAACTCTTGGTCTCTTGATGCCTCTAGCTGTTCCCTAAGGCCCTGCAACGTCTGTCCCGCAGCATCGTCCGCTCGCGGGCACACAGCACTGCAGTTGGCATCTTTTCTGTTCTGCTTGTGTTTACCTCTGCCATTGCCAACATGGTAAGGGTCCAGCGGGAATTCTTCCACCTCTGCTCTGTGTCAAGCACTGCCCTGGACACTGGGGGTGCAGAGGGGAATAGGACATATTTTCTGCCCTCAGGGAGCCCCCTCCCAGAATAGGGGAAGGTGAACTCCAGTTCTTCCTCCTTTTGTCCCAACCTCTTGTTATCCCTGAGTGAGAATGAAGACCCATGGGTATAAGGTACCTGGGTATATCCCTAGCAACCCTTCACCTCCTTGGCCACTCTGACATACCCTTCCACTTTTGCAGTTCACCTGTAACCACACCCCCATACGGACCTGTGCAGCCCAGATGCTGAATTTAACACCTGCTGATATCACTGCCTGCCACCTGCAGCAGCTCAATTACTCTCTGGGCCTGGATGCGCCCCTGTGTGAGGACACCGAGCCCACCTGCAGCTTCCCTGAGGTGTTCAAGCAGTGCTCAGGCAGTGGGAAGGGTCTGTCCTGGCACAGACATTGGCCCCTCTGTGCCAGGCCTGGTGATGGGCATGGGGACCCAGGAACTCACCAGAGTCTCCCACACTAGGAGCAACCAGGGGCCCTGGTGTGGTGTAGGGGCTGCACGTGGAGGGTGGAGGATATGGGGGTTTAAGGGGTGTGGAGGGAAGGTTAGGTCAGGCAGGAGAGTGCAGGGCTCTCCCTGCCCAGGGGTGCCATGGCCTTTGCCTTCACCCAATGCTGCCTCTGCCATCCCCCCAGTACTTCATCGGGAACATGCTGCTGAGTCTCCTGGCCAGCTCTGTCTTCCTGCACATCAGCAGCATCGGGAAGTTGGCCATGATCTTTGTCTTGGGGCTCATCTATTTGGTGCTGCTTCTGCTGGGTCCCCCAGCCACCATCTTTGACAACTATGACCTACTGCTTGGTGTCCATGGCTTGTGAGTTTATTCTCAGGTCCTTTAATACCCCAGGAACTTCCCTGACCTTGCTGGGTCACTGTGAGCCTCTCTGGTGCCCAGGCCCCTTGTGCCCTTGGAATGCCTCAACTCCCTTGTGGAGGAAAGGAAGGAGATGGAGGAGCTCCCAGCATGTGACCCCAAATAGTTACCCCAAGGAAACCTCAGTCTTGGGAAATCCTTGTGTCTTTAGGCTGGACATTAAAAAAATTCCCTCTTATATTTGCATGGTGCTTTCACATCCACTGTCTTAACCACTGATAGGTTATAAAGCTGCTTGGTGGCAGGGCTCTGGCTAGGAACCACAGCTTCTGATCCTGCTTAGGGCTTTGCCTGGGATACCACACTGGCTTTTCCTCTGCAAAACCCCCTTCCTTCAATATGCCACTGCAGCTTGTTGTAGTAGAAAATGCCTCTGGCTTCTGCTGGGTTTGAATCCCTGCTCTGCTGCTCATTAGCTATGTGAGCTTAGACAGGTGAGTTAGCTTTTCTGAGCCTCAATTTCCTCATCTGTAAAATGGCAATGTCACCTAAATCACAGGGTAGTTGTAAAGATTATAGTAACTAACATTTATGGAAGTCTCACTATATGGCAGGAACTGTGCCAAGCCTTTTACACACATTTATATTGGATGCCTGTTGTACAGATGAGGAAGGAGGCTTAGAGAGCTAAGCAACTTGTCTCAGGTCACATAGCTGATAAGTAGGGGAGTCTCTAAGAGCAGAGGTGTGGTTTTGTTTTTTGTTTTTTGTTTTTTTTGAGACGGAGTCTTGCTCTGTTGCCTAGGCTGGAGTGCAATGGCGCGATCTCAACTCGCTGCAGTGGTACAAACCCGCATCCTGGGTTCAAGCAATTATCTTGCCTCAGCCTCCCAAGTAGCTGGGATTACAGGCACCCACCACCACACCCAGCTAATTTTTGTATTTTTAGTAGAGACGAGGTTTCACCATGTTGGCCAGGCTGGTCTTAAACTCCTGACCTCAGGTGATCCACCTGCCTCAGCCTCCCAAATTGCTGGGATTACAGCACCCAGCCAAGAGCAGAGGTTTTCTTAACCTCTACTCTTGATGAGTTAATTAATGTAAGTAAAAGCCTCGGCCTGATGCCTGACTTACAGTATGTGCTCAGTAAATGCAGTCTCTGTCTCCCCTTCCATGTGCCCACCTAGCAACCCAGGAAGCACTAATTACTTTGTCTCTTCTATCTTCTTGCCAGGGCTTCTTCCAATGAGACCTTTGATGGGCTGGACTGGTAAGTGAAGGCTCTAAGGCAGCAAAGGGTAGGGCCCTAGATGCCTCCCTCAGACACCAAGCATGTCTCTGCTTACCCTTAGTCCAGCTGCAGGGAGGGTGGCCCTCAAATATATGACCCCTGTGATTCTGCTGGTGTTTGCGCTGGCGCTGTATCTGCATGCTCAGCAGGTGGAGTCGACTGCTCGCCTGGACTTCCTCTGGAAACTGCAGGTGACTGGGTGGGCCTTTGGGGGAAGGGGAGGAACCTAGGGGCAGAGCCTGGGCCCTGCCAAAAATGCATCTCCTGCTAGCTGGCTAAGGCCCACGGCGCCCCTAGGCCCCCCTGGTTCCATGCCTTCTCTGTGCGCATCCCTTACTCCTCACCCCATCCTCTACCTGCCCCCTTCATCCCTTTGCCTGTTCTTTAGGCCTCATCTGTCCGTGCCTTTCTTCCTCTGCGTGATTCCCTCTGATGCCCACTTCCAGGCCTTGGCCACCACACCCACCCCTTGTGAATGTTGGGCAATGGGTGATGGGTGTGGTGTCTGTAGGCAACAGGAGAGAAGGAGGAGATGGAGGAGCTCCAGGCATACAACCGGAGGCTGCTGCATAACATTCTACCCAAGGACGTGGCCGCCCACTTCCTGGCCCGGGAGCGTCGCAATGATGAACTCTACTATCAGTCGTGTGAGTGTGTGGCTGTTATGTTTGCCTCCATTGCCAACTTCTCTGAGTTCTATGTGGAGCTGGAGGCAAACAATGAGGGTGTCGAGTGCCTGCGGCTGCTCAACGAGATCATCGCTGACTTTGATGAGGTACTTGTCCAGTTGGCTGGTGCTGGCAGAGAATTGGGGGACTTGGAGACCAGGGTAGTAGAGAGAACTTTGGATGAAAAGGCCAGGATTGGAAGGGGTGAATGGCACTAGGAAGAGAAAGAGAGATTTGATGGGATTCAGAGGCATCAGGGCTAAGGGTAAGGGTAGGCACAGTGGAGGCAGAGGCAAGAACCCATGAAGGTGTCAGAGGCAGCAAGGGGATCAGCCCTAGCGGGGCAGTGTCGTCCTTGTTGGGGAGCGGGGGAGGACTTGATCTGTAGGGGGTTAGGATAACTACCAGGTGGATGTCATTGAAGAAGAAGGCAGTAGTCTGGACAGAACTTCATGAGATCAACCAAGCAAGATGGTCCTCTGAAAACAGAAAATGGAAGCAAAATGTGAGGTAGTATCCTGAAAATCCAGATCAGGAAATGGCTGTTCCACTATTCTGGAGGGAAGTCACTTGTTCACTTTGGGACTCAGTATCCCAAAAGGACTGGAGAAATTGCTTAATATCCCACCTGTGGGTCTGTGTTCCGTGAGTGAGCTACTGGAGTGACCTTCTGAAACTGTATGCCCAAGTCCTGCCTTGACTCCTAGGGTGTCTGTTTTTCCTGGCTCCTCAGTCCTACACTGATAGCAGCAGCTGGAAGGGGGCTCTTGAGACGGGGAAGTGGGGAAAGGAGCCAAGGCGGGGCAAGAAATGAGTGTTGGGGCAGGGCTGGGTTTAGGGTCTTTGCCTTGACAGCCAGGTTCCCTTGTGTTGTTCAGATCATCAGCGAGGAGCAGTTCCGGCAGCTGGAAAAGATCAAGACAATTGGTAGCACCTACATGGCTGCCTCAGGGCTGAATGCCAGCACCTACGATCAGGTGGGCCGCTCCCACATCACTGCCCTGGCTGACTACGCCATGCGGCTCATGGAGCAGATGAAGCACATCAATGAGCACTCTTTCAACAATTTCCAGATGAAGATTGGTGAGAGGACCTGGTTGCTTGGCAGGGTTTCTAGGATTATTTCTGGGTGAAGCTGGGATTATAGGCTGGGGATGGGATCACAGATTCCCCATCAGGGTTCCTGTGGGGTTTTCTTCCCTCTGACCTTCTATAGAAAGTCTGATGTTAAGGACAGAGATCATGGCCAGGTGCGGTGGCTCACGCCTGTAATCCCAGCACTTTGGGAGGCCAAGGTGGGTGGATCACCTGAGGTCAGGAGTTCGGGACCAGTCTGACCAATATGGTGAAACCCTGTCTCTATAAAAAAAACAAAAACCTTTAAAAATAAAAAATCAAAGAACAGAGATCATGCCGGGTGTGGTGGCTCCTGCCTGTAATCCTAGCACTTTGGGAGGCCAAGGTGGGCAGATCATGAGGTCAAGAGATAGAGACCATCCTGGCCAACATGGTGAAACCCGTCTCTACTAAAAATACAAAAATGACTGGGTGTGGTGGCACACACCTATAGTCTCAGCTACTTGGGAGGCTGAGGCAGGAGAATTGCTTGAACCCAGGAGGCGGAGGTTGCAGTGAGCTGAGATCATGCCCCTAAACTCCAGCCTGGTGAAGAACAAAACTGTCTCAAAAAAAAAAAAAGAGAACAGAGATCATTCGGCACTATCCTAGAAATTTTTGAGCATATTTTAATCCTGGTATTATTATCCCCTTTCATTGGATAGAAACCAACTCTCAGAGAGATTACATAACTTGCCCAAGGTCAAACAACTAGTAAGTGGCAGAGCTGAGATTCAAAATCAGAATAATCTAAAATTGAATACCTTTGTGCTTTTATATGGCCAGTTGGATAAGAAGCGCTTCCTGTTAAATGAACTGGTGGATGGGAATGGTTAATAGCATGGGTTCTAGAGTCAGTCTATCTGGTTTGAATTCTGGCTGCTCCATTTATTGGCTTATTTGGGAAGTCATCTAACTTCTCTAAGCTTCAGTTCTCTTATCTATAAAATGGGGCTAGTAATACCTACCTTTTAGAGGTGTTAAAAGGATGAAGTTATGTAAAATGCTTACTAGAGTGGCTGACATGGAACAAGCATTCAGGAGGTTATTGTTATAGATGGCTGTCTCAACTGAGGGAGCTCCTAAGCTCAGGTGTTCAGGTCCTTTGAGTGTTTTCATTTTTTGGGGTTTTTTTTTGAGGCAGGGATTTGCTCTGTCACCCAGGCTAGAGTGCTGGGGTACAATCACAGCTCACTGCAGCCTCAACTCCCAGGCTCAATCAATCTATTCTCCCACCTCAGCCTCCCGAGTCGCTAGGACTACAGGTGTGCACCACCTTGTCTGGCTAATTTTTGTATTTTTTTGTAGAGATGGGGTTTCACCATGTTGGCCAGGCTGGTCTTGACCTAGATCCTTCTTTACAACCAGGAGACTTGTCCTTTTTCCATTTTTTTCTCTGGGTCTTTCTACCAGTGCCAGGAGGTGGGATGACTCCCTGGGTTGACCCTGGAGCATCTACTAATCTCTTACTGTTCTTCCCACCTCAGGGCTGAACATGGGCCCAGTTGTGGCAGGTGTCATTGGGGCCCGGAAGCCGCAGTATGACATCTGGGGGAACACAGTGAATGTTTCTAGCCGTATGGACAGCACGGGGGTCCCCGACCGAATCCAGGTGAGGGAAATATGAGCAGGGGCTGGGAGGAGCATGGGCCCGGAGGGCTTCCATAGGTGTCTCTGGTCTTCTAGGACAGGGGTAGGGTGGCTAGTATTCTGTGTTTTGTGGGGCAGGGGTTGGGGGAAGGGAGCTAGTCTGACTAGAGAACCCCTGGGCCCCTGCAAATGCAGCAGGAAGGATTCCAGGCTAAGCAGGCTCCCCTCCCACTCCCCCAGGTGACCACGGACCTGTACCAGGTTCTAGCTGCCAAGGGCTACCAGCTGGAGTATCGAGGGGTGGTCAAGGTGAAGGGCAAGGGGGAGATGACCACCTACTTCCTCAATGGGGGCCCCAGCAGTTAGCAGGGCCCAGCCACAAATTCAGCTGAAGGGACCAAGGTGGGCATTGAGAGGACTCTGTGCTCACTGGGTGGAGCTGTGGCAGGGGTCACTGGGCCTCTAGACCCTGCTAACCACAAAAGGGAACACCACAGCAGGCTGTGCTTGGATTATGCTCTTCTGCCCTCAAGCTGGTGAACAAGGGGCTACCTACCAAGAGGATTATTGCAAGTGACTTTCTTTCTTAATTGGGGTAGAGCTGTTCCCTCTCCAGTCTTCCAGCTTTTGGGAGCAGGGGAGGGGTCAGTAGCAGAAGTGGAGGGAGCTCTCTTGCCTGAGGGATTAAAATGGCAGCTTGCCATGCCTATCCCTTCCCTGTGTGTTTGGGCAGCAGGTTCAGGGCTGGGCCCTTCTTTTCCCTTTTTTTTCTGGGAATATTTTGTACAATATTTTGTACAAAGATAGGCATGAGGAGTGCCTATTCCATGCTTGCCTTTGCAATACCTGCATCCCCAGCACTGGTCTTGGGCACTTTCCCACCCCAGCCAGGTGTCCCTCCTAAGTACAGGGCAAAGGAGGGAGATGCTCTGGGGAGCCAGCTCTGGCCATATTTCAGGAGAATGTTTCCATGTGCCAAATCATAGTCCCATGATCTGTCCCCAAAGGGGAACAAAGGGACCTCTGACAGCTTGGATTTAGCCCCAGTTCCTGCATGCTCCAGGGAACGGGGTGTCTGGCCTCACTGGTACTGTGAAAATGCTCAGAGAGCAATCCTGTGTGTGGGGATGTCAGGTCAGGAGCTGGAAGTTCACCTGTAGGTGCCAAAGAGCAGGCTGGCCAGGGCTAGGGCAGTGCCAGACTCTGATCTAAGGACCGCAACGGGGTGCGGATCAGGTCACTCTGCCCCAGTGCTCTCTTGCTGTCTGCTGGCAAGGGGGCATGGAGCATCTCTCCCTCTTCTGTTGCCAAATAGAAAAGGGTCAGGGCATGGAGAAAGATGACCCTGAGCCCAAACCTGCCCTCCAAGTCTCGCGTTGGGGAGAGCCTGTGTGTTTGTGTAACTGTGTGTGCATGTTGGTTTTTGTGTGCATATCTGTTTTCCAGGTCTGTGTGAGTCCTTGTGCTCCTGCTCCTCAGCTCTCCACCCCAGGTCGCCTCTCTCCTGTGGGCCTCTGTCTTCTGGGAATAAAGCAGGGTTTCCTATTTCAGGGGCTGTAGAGAGATACCCAGGTTGCACAGGAGAGGGATGGGGTGTGGTAGCAAAGGGAGGGAGAGGAGTCCTTTTTGTGCCAAATCCCTAAGTGCCGTTTGGGGGTCATGTGCGCAGCATGACTCTCCCTGCCTCTGGCAGGGACCCAAGCACTTGCTTGAGCCCCAGTGCTCCATGCAGCACTTGAACTGTCTGGGGTTTGGTGGACGGAGGCTCAAGAATTTCCTGGGTTCCCCAGATAGTGTCCTGGGACATGGTTTGCTTTGGGGCTGGGGTAGCATGGGATCCTTCGGAGGACTCAGATACTGGTACTAGGAGCTGGGGAAGGGGAACCTTAAACTTGGCTCTTCCCAGCCTTCATCCTGAGTCTAACCTGTTTCTGGCTCCCCAGGCCCTTGTGAAGCCTTCAGGGCTGGCAGAAGGGTTAGGAGGTTGAACTCTAGATTCCCTTCCTATCTTTGCCTTCCTTTTACCCCTTTCCCTGCAGCCTCCTTGATTCTGGCCTGAATTTGGTTGTGCCTCAGTTTCTCTGTCTATACCTATTTAAGCCAAAGGCACTAGCCTGAATTTTGCTTGAAGATCACTTTGTCTTGGAAATGACTAGAGAGGCAGAGGTTTCCAGAGTTGCTGGGTTTGGGAGTGGAAGGGGCAGGCAGTGCACTTGCCCTTCCTCATGCACCTTCTGATACCAGTTCCCTGTGGGGGCCTGGTTTTTGGGTACTGACTCCCTTGGGCATCTTCATGTACCAACCAAATGGGCCTTCATGTACCAACCAAATGGGCATCTTCATTAGTCATGGCAGAAGAGGGGAAAAGACTTGTTACAGACAAAATCTGCTCCCCTGCCCCGAGCCATATCCTTGGATAGGAAGAGACTACTTGGTGCCATGAGGTAGGGGTGAGGGTGTAAGTAGATCAGAGTGGGAAGACCTCAGCCTTGGGTAGCTTGTCTCTGCTTCTTGCCAGATGGGAGGGCCTGTTCACATCCTGGCTCCCTGTACCACAGTGCCAGCCATGCCCTTCCCCTGGGCTACCATTGCCCCTTTCCTCACCAGTTGGTGGAGGAGTCAGGAGATGGGAGGCCATGGGCTTTGGTTTTATAATGTAACCACTGTGGGAGGGGGGAGGATGGTGTACCATGTATTTCAGTGAAATATTTAATATATTTAAATATCAATAAAATCAAACTCTTTATAAAATTCCCTGTTCTGTGTAGCTGTTCTGGGCCCTGGGTGGGTCAGAAGTGACAGAGCCTGATGTAGAAGGCAACCTCTTGCCCCAGGGCTCTGTGGGCCTCTTGTCTGTGGTCAGAGGACTTCCTGTGGCTTTCTCCTTGCTAAGGAGAAGCTGCAGTATCTTCAGAGTGTGACTACTCAAGGCCTTTCAGCATCATGAGCTCCAGCGTGTGCCTTCCCAGATTAATTGCACTGACCCCTGCCATGCATAAGGCCCAAGGTTCTTTCCAGTGCCTTGGCCCCTGGCAGACCTCTCACACCAAGGCCTGGCTCATTCAGGAATCTCTCCCAAACCACCTCTCACAACAACCTGGGCACTGGAATCACCCCACCCTCACCCCACAACTCCCCCAGTGCACACAAGCAACTTTTAGTCCAATCTGTTTACTCTGCTTTCTCCACCACCTCTTCCCATTAGTCAGCCATTGGAACTGGGAAACCTCCTTCTTTCCGTCTCTTTGCACTCTTTCCACAATTCATCTTGTCTTTCTGCAGCCGTATCTTATTAATACAGACTGAAGGTTCTGTCATTGAGAATAGAGTGATCCATAAACCTAGAAAGAAAGAGATTCAGAGAGAGATTCAGCCAGGCCAGGCTTGAGGGCAGGAGATCCTTAAAAATAGCTCCCAAGAGGCCAGGCGCGGTGGCTCATGCCTGTAATCCCAACACTTTGGGAGGCTAAGGCAGGTGGATCACCTGAGGTCAGGTGTTCAAGACCAGCCTGGCCAACATGGTGAAACCCTGTTTCTACTAAAAATACAAAAATTAGCTGGGCGTGGTGGTGGGCACTTGTAATCCCAGTTACTCGGGAGGCTGAGCCAGGAGAATCACTTGAACACCCAGGCAGCAGAGGTTGCAGTGAGCCGAGATTGTGCCATTGCACTCCAGCCTGGGTGACAGAGCGAGACTCCATCTCAAAAAAAAAAAAGCTCCCAAGACTGCCTCAGGGCAGAATGATAGGGGTAGTGATGAAAAAGTAGGGCTGCTGCTGGGTGCCGTGGCTCACACCTGTAATCCCAGCACTTTGGGAGGCCCAGGCGGGTGGATTGCTTGAGGTCAGGAGTTTGAGAGCAGCCTGGCCAACATGGTGAAACCCCGTCTCTATAACAAAAAATAAAAATTAAAAAAAAAAAGAAAAAGTAGGGCTGCAGCCAAAGGGTGGTAATTGAGGGGTGGAGAGGTAGTGAGGAAGGCAGCATTGGGCTGCCACAGGAATGCTATGGACACTTGTTTTGCACCAGCTCAGAATTCACACCCACAAAGAGAAACACAAAGACAGACAAATCTATAACTCCTTTGAATGCATCACGGCCCAAATTCTGGGACCAGTTTTCTCTGGTAAGACTCAAATCTCTCCTTCTATTTCCCTAACCTGACCAGAGGTGAAATAGTCTCTATTTAAGGGAAGGGAAGGAGTACTTCCCTTCAACTTCCCACCTTTTCCCCTCCCGGTCTAACCTGGTCATCGCGCTTTTTATGAGACAGTGGCGAGGGCCCCGGATCCATGGCATGGTTTCCTCTGGACGCACTCCTGGATCATGGGACCGCCAGAAGCTGAAGTTCTGAGCATCAGTCAAGGGGACTCTGAAGACCTGATTGGGAACTGAATGGGTGGGGGGAAGGGCAGGTTATCTAATTCCTTCAAGTTCTCTGCTCACTTTTCTGCCTCAGGGCAGCAATAGCCCAGCCCAGCCCAGCAACTGCTGGGCCTGACCAGGTGCTGAGAGGTCCTGGGAGTGTGGTCACCACACCCTGCTTCACTTCCGGATTCCAGCATCTCACTCCTTTCATGGTCAAATGAATGTCTTGGTTATTCCTGCTGCTAGTAAGCCCATCTCTAAGAGAGCTTTCCCCAAGTGCTAAGATGGTAGAAAAACAAGTGGCCCACCCACTTGGGAAATGGGTGAAAATAATAGGTCCACTGATCTATTATTTTTCTTTTTTCTTGTCTTAATCGTTATCTTTCTCTTCCCTCCTCTTGGAAAAAAATGCCTTCCTTTGCTCACTCTAGGTAATTCTCTGAAACCTAACTGATACCACCTCACATTTAGATGCTGTTAATAGATGTCATTTATCTAGTGTCTGTCATGTTCTAAATGTGGTATTAAATATTTAAAAAATATTTTGAAATAATATCAGATTCAGATGCTGTTTGAAAAAGTACCTTTGGCCAGGTGTGGTGACTCATGCCTGTAATCCCAGTACTTTGGGAGGCCAAGGCAGTCGGATTACTTGAGATCAGGAGTTTGAGACCAGCCTGGTCAACATGGTGAAATCCGATCTCTACTAAAAATGCAAAAATTAGTCGGGCATGGTGGCGGACACCTGTAATCCCAGCTACTTGAGAAGTTGAGGCAGGAGAATTGCTTGAACCCAAGAAGTAGAGGTTGCAGTGAGCTGCGATTATGCCATTGTACACCGGCCAGGGCAGCAAGACTATCTCAAAAAAAAAAAAGAAAGAAAAAAGTACTTTTGACCAGGCACTATGGCTCATGCCTGTAATCCTAGCACTTTGGGAGGCCGAGGTGGGTGGATCACCTGAGGTCAGGAGTTCACCTGGCCATCATGGTGAAACCCCATCTTTAAAAAAAAAAAGAAAGAAAAAGAAGTATTTTTACTATTTATTTAGATACATCTAATTCTATCAATATAAAATTTGTATATTTTTAAAACTTAGAATTATAGCCTAATATTCTGGATTGCTATATAGTGTTTATAATCATTTTTTTTTCTTTTTTGAGGTGGAGTCTTACCCAGATTGGAATACACTTGCACGATCTTGGCTCCCTGCAACCTTCGCCTCCCAGGTTCAAGCGATTCTCCTGCCTTATCCTCCCCAGTAGCTGGGAGTAGAGGTGCGTGCCACCACACCTGGCTAATCTTCTGTATTTTTAGTAGAGATGGGGTTTCACTATGTTAGCCAGGATGGTTTTGAATCTCCTGACCTTGTGATCTGCCTGCCTCAGCCTCCCAAAGTGCTGGAATTACAGGCATGAGCCATTGTGCCTGGCCTATAATAATTTTTTAAAAATTCCTAATAATTCATTGAGTAGGTGTTATACTTTTGGCTTATTTTCCTGCAAATTAATAATAAGGTAGTGAAAAGTTTTGCTATTAGAGGCTGGGTGTAGTGGCTCACACCTGTAATCCCAGCACTTTAAGAGGCAGGTGTATCGTTTGAGCCCAGGAGTTCCAGACCAGCCCAGGCAACATGTTGAAACCCCATTTCTACAAAAAGTACAAAAACTAACCCAGCATGGTGGCACACACCTGTAGTCCCAGGAGGCTGAGATGAGAAGGATTATTTGAGCCTAGGAGGTTGTTGAGGCTGTAGTGAGCAGTGATTGTGCAGCTGCACTCCAGCCTGGGTAACGGAGCAAGACTCTTGTCTCAAAAAAATAAAAATAAAAATAAATTAAAGTTTTGCTATTAGAAATAACTTACTACCCCTCTTTCCACATGTGCCTGTTTTGATTTCTGAAAGTATTTTAGGTTTTTAAGCTTTAGTTTTGTTATAATTATAGGTTCACATACAGTTGTAACAAATAATACAGGGAAACCAGGCACAGTGGCTCATGCCTATAATCACAGCACTTTGGGAGGATCACTTGAGCCCAGGAGTTCAACACCAGCCTGGGCAACATAGCAAGACTCTGTCTCTATTAAAAAAAAACAAAAACAAAAACAAACAACAACAACAAAAGAAAACAACAGGGAAATCCTGTGTACAATTTACCCTTCCCCACAATGGTTACAACTTACAAAACTAAGTACACTACCACAACATGATATTAATATATTGAATATATTGATACAGAACAGTTCCATTGCCACCCATCCTGGAGTTGCCATTTTATAGCCACCCTCCCCCACCCCACCCCCACTTTAGAAATCAGTGATCTGTTCTTCATTTCTGTAATCTTGTCATTTTAAGAATGTTGCCGGGCGCGGTGGCTCACGCCTGTAATCCCAGCACTTTGGGAGGCTGAGGCGGGTGGATCACGAGGTCGAGAGATCGAGACCATCCTGGTCAACATGGTGAAACCCGTCTCCACTAAAAATACAAAAAATTAGCTGGGCATGGTGGCGCGTGCCTGTAATCCCAGCTACTCAGGAGGCTGAGGCAGGAGAATTGCCTGAACCCAGGAGGCAGAGGTTGCGGTGAGCCGAGATCGTGCCATTGCACTCCAGCCTGGGTAACAAGAGCAAAACTCTGTCTCAAAAAAAAAAAAAAAAAAAAAAAAAAAAAAGAATGTTATCAGAATGTTATATAAGAATGTCATAATAGCACTCTCAGTGGTTGTGTATTCACTCTATCTATTTTCTTGCAAGTCACCGAAGTATTAGATTGCTTCCTGTTTAAAGCTCTTATAGGATCCCCATTGCAATTAAAATCCAAGTTACTCTACTCTGGCCCATAACACATTTTCATGATCTCACCCCTGCCCAGCTCACTGAACTCATCTTTCTTTTTCTTTTTTTTTTTTTTTGAGGTGGAGTTTTACTCTTGTTGCCCAGGCTGGATGACATGATCTCGGTTCACTGCAACCTCTGCCTCCCGGGTTCAAGGAATTCTCTTGCCTCAGCTTCCCGAGTAGTTGGGATTACAGGCACCTACCACCATGCCCGGCTAATTTTTGTATTTTTTTTTTAGTAGAGACAGGGTTTCACCATGCTAGCTAGGCTGGTCTCAAACTACCAACCTCAGGTGATCTGCCTGCTTCAGGCTCCCAAAGTGCTGTGATTATAGGCGTGAACCACGGAGCCCAGCTCCCTACATGATTTTTAATTAATTAATTTTTTTTTTTGAGACAGAGTCTCACTCTGTCACCCAGGCTGGAGTGCAATGGTGCAGTCTTGGCTCACCGAAACCTCTGCCTCCCGGGTTCAAGCAATTCTCCTGCTTCAGCTTCCCGAGTAGCTGGGATTACAGGTGCCCATCACCATGCCCAGCTAATTTTTCTATTTTTAGTAGAGACGGGGTTTCACCATACTGGCCTGGCTGGTCTCGAATTCCTGACCTTGTGATCTGCCCACATTTGCCTCCCAAAATGCTGGAATTACAAACATGAGCCACAGTGCCTGGCCAATTTTATTTTATTTTATTTTTGAGACACGGTCTTGCTCTGTTGTCCAGGCTGGAGTGCAGTGGTGCTATCACAGCTCACGGCAGCCTTGACCTGCCAGGCTTAAGCGATCCTCCCACTTCAGCCTCTTGAGTGGTTGGGACTACAGGTGAACATCACCATGCCCGCTAATGTGTGTGTGTGTGTGTGTGTGTGTGTGTTTGAGATGGAGTTTCACTCTTGTTACCCAGGCTGGAGTGCAATGGCGACATCTTGGCTCACCGCAACCTCGGTCTCCTGGATTCAAGCAATTCTCCTGCCTCAGCCTCCCGAGTAGCTGGGATTACAGGCTGTGCCACTATGCCCAACTAATTTTGTATTTTTAGTAAAGACAGAGTTTCACCAAGTTGACCAGGATGGTCTCGATCTCTTGACCTTGTGATCCACCCGACTTGGCCTCCCAAAGTCCTGAGATTGATGTGAGCTACTGCACTTGGCCTTGTTTTTTTTTTTTTTTTTTTTTTTTGAGGCGGAGTCTCACTTTGTCACCCAGGCTAGAGTGCAATGGTGTGATCTCTGCTCACTGTAACCTCTGCCTCCTGCGTTCAAGCGATTCTCCTGCCTCAGCCTCCCAAGAATCTGGGATTACAAGCATCTGCCACTATACCTGGCTAATTTTAAAAATTTTTTAGGTGAGACGGGGTTTTGCCACTTTGGCCAGGTTGGTCTTGAACTCCCAACCTCAAGTGATCCACCCACCTTGACCTTCCAGAGTGCTTGGATTACAGGTGCGAGCCACCGCGCCCAGCTGTATGTTTTATAGATGGAGTTTCACCATGTTGCTCAGGCTGACTACATGCTTTTTGAAATGTACATGTTGTCTGTTCACAATAGTGCTAAAAAGTATGATTCCCATTTTCAGATGTTTCAGAGAGGCTGTGGTTAAAGAAACTTGCCTCAGGTCACAGAATTCATTTGCAGTTTAAATCTAGTTCAGTAAGATGCCAAAGCTGGTGCTTCCTACTCCTGGCAGGGATAATGCATGATAATATACAATGGTTTCATTTTTACTTTTTTCTCCCAATAATTCTAAAAGATCAGTAGAACAAAGGCTCAGGCATTTTCTCTCCCCCACATCCTAACTTTAAACGACTGAGGAGCCTGGCACGGTGGCTCATGCCTGTAATCCCAGCACTTTGGAAGGCTGAGGCAGGTGGATCACCTGAGGTCAGGAGTTCAAGACCAGGCTGGCCAACATAGTGAAACCCCATCTCTACTAAAAATACAAAAATTAGCCAGGCATGGTGACACACTTCTGTAGTCCCAGCTACTTGGGAGGCTGAGGCACGAGAATCACTTGAACCCGGGAGGCGGAGGTTGCAGTGAGCTGAGATTTTGCCACTGCACTGCAGCCTGGGTGACAGAGTGAGAATCTGCCTCAAAACAACCACAACCACCACCGCAACAACAAAACTGATGAGGGATCAGGTTAATAAAGGGCAAATAGGCCAGGTGTGGTGGCTCACACCTGTAATCCCTGGACTGTGGGAAGCCAATGTGGGAGGATCACTTGAGCCTGGGAGTTTGATACCAGCCTGGAATACAAGCATGGCTCTATCTCTACAAACTTTTTATTTTAAAAAATTAACCAGGCTTGGTGGTGCATGCCTGTAGTCCCAGCTATTTATGAGGCTGAGGTGAGAAGATCACTTGAGCCCAGGAGTTTGAGGCTGCAGTGAGCTATGACTGCACCACTGCACTCCAGCCTGGGTGACACAATGAGACCCTGACCCTGTTTCAAAAAAAAAGAAAAGGTGAGATATCAAAAAAGAGGCAGAACTAGGATTCAAACATGGATCTTCTACTTCCAAGTCTGATTCAGATTTCATTTTATCAATGGGCACAGTGGCTCACACCTGTAATCCCAGCATTTTGGGAGGCCCAGGTGGGTGGATCACCTGAGGTCAGGAGTTCGGGACCAGCCTGAACAACATGGTGAAACCCCGTCTCCACTAAAAATACAAAAATCAGTGGCATGGTGGTGGACACCTATAATCTCAGCCACTCAGGAGACTGAGGCAGGAGAATTGCTTGAATCTGGGAAGCAGAGGTTGCAGTGAGCTGAGATGGCACCACTGTACTCCAGCCTGGATGACAGAGCAAGCAAGACTGTCTTGAAAAAAAAAATTCATTTTATCATACTTACCCCACTAAGTCTACTTTACTTTCTCCCTCTTGCTCTCAGTCTCTCCTCTTGGCTCTTTTTTTTTTTTTTTTTTCCTGCCGTACAACCATACCCAACCACATCCCAGCCATTCTTTAGGAACTCAGACATATCTTTTTTTTTTTATCCTAGCATGATGCCCACCCCAAGGTACTTACATGTCTTCAGCAACACCTTCCGAACAGCTTCGTGGTATCTTGTGTGGCTATTCTGGTGCACAGAATAATTCCCATCTTTTGAGATAATCGGGGGAAGCCTAGTGGGCTCTGGTTCCTTCTGGTCTGAAATGAGAGTAGACTTGTTCTGAGTACTTGGCAAATTACTATTTGATTCTCTGATTCCCTGGTCTCCATGCTAACCACGTACGTGGCAGGGATCTCTCCTCAGGAGTCAAATCACCATGCCTGTGACAGAGGGGAGGGAGAGAGAACCCACTGGTCACAAGACCTCCCTTACAACTTTCTTGCTCCTCCCTGACTCCTGGGTTTTAAGAGGCCAGCTTCTGGAATCAGGATGTTAGACGCATACTTAAGGTTAGTGCAAGTGAAAAAGGCGCTTATCTGGGTATACATTCCTTTCCTGGGACTGGCATATTTGCAGAACTTCACATGGTCTAATAGTGGAAGTTATGTTTGAGTTAAGTCTTGGAGGAACAGAAAGAGGTAGGTGATAGTAGAATCAGGAAGAGCACTTCAGACAGCAGAATGGCAAGTATTTAGAAGCATTAGAGAGGCATCGGAGAGCTATTGGTTTTGAGCCTGGAGTGCTGGGTGAAGAAAAGGACAGGAGATGGGGCTGGTAAAGTAATGTAGTATGGCGGCCACCTAGCATTCATTATGTTTGGAAATCACTCCCTATGAAGCAAAACCTGTATCTCACAATAGAAGCTGAAAAAGACTAGGTCTTCCTTACCCAACCTCTCTTTCATCAAGGATATGGGCAAAGAATTTTGGCTAGGCCAATCAAACACATTTGCTTCAGATTTTGAATCAAAGATAAGATCGCAAGGAAACAGTGGCCATATGAAGTTATCTGCTAGTGATAGAAGGTGACTCCATCTCAAAAAAAAGATTTCTGTCTCTTGGCTGTTCCATCCATTTTGTCATGCAAGCCAAAAAGGCGTTAGGCCCCTTTCTCTATTTACTTCAGCCAGTCTCAAAAGCAGAGTAAAATCAAGCTCTTGGCCAGGCACAGTGACTCATCCCTGTAATCCTAGCACTTTGGGAGGCCAAGGCAGGTGGATCACCTGAGGTCAGCAGTTCGAGCCCAGCCTGGCCAACATGGTGAAACCCTGTCTCTACAAAAGATACAAAAATTAGCACGGTGCAGTGGCGCACACCTGTAGTCCCAGCCACTCAGGAGACTGAGGCAAGAGAATCGCTCGAATCCGTAGGCAGAGGTTGCGGTAAACCAAGATTGTGCCACTGCACTCCAGCCTGGGTGACAAGAGCAAAACTCCATCTCAAAAAAAAAAAAAAAAAAAAAAAATCATCCAGCTCTGCATCTGATATTTTCAGTGCCTCCATTCTGTATTCCTGGAGCAGAAGCCTCATTCCATTCCTCAAATTTTTATTTTTCATGATTATGGATGCTTGTCAGGACCTGGATCAGTTTACCTTGACAATCTTGGAAATTGTTGAGGATTGCTGACTAATCTCTGGTGGAGGGTGGCAATGCCACTTCTGTTCTGGAGTTCTTCCCCAGCTCCTGCTTTTTCCTCTTCTTCCTGGCTCAGCCTCACTCATTTATCATCTCTGTCCCTCATCTCTCTCTTTTGTCCTCCAATTAAATCTCCTTTAACATTCTCTATCTGAGATAATGATTTCACCAGAGTGGAGCACAGTTTGAATCCCCTCCCTGTACAGCTGAGGACTTGGAGAAACAATAGTTCTGAAGCCTTGGTTAGCATATAGAGTTCTGGAAGTGTGGACTGAACCATGGGGCTGATTTTTACTTCAACACAAGTTATAGCAGTGGGGCCATTTCTTGGAAGCAATATAATTGAGCTTGGTATTTGAATTTGGGCAAGGTGGGGGTGGCAGGATGTCCTTGGACAAATTGAAGCAGACTGAGGAGAAAGAACAAGCATATTCCTAGTGGCCAGTGGGACCTAGACTGAGTAATTATTGGTCTGAGCTCAGGTGACAGTTAGGAACTCTATCTGTTCCCAAGGCCTCAGGCTGATTGTCAGGGTACAGGCAGGTGATGTTCTCTATTATCTCAGCATGTCCAAGTAGCAGGGTCCCAGCTTTCCATATGGATAATCAGTGTGTGCTTGGAGGTGTGCTGGACAGTATCACCCACCTAGATGCCTTCCTATGGAATCAACCAGCAATTGGCATATACCTTGCATCTATTTTTGGCAAACTGGTAGATATTCTTGGTAACCCATATATTCTCTGAATTGCCAAGATTTGGAAGGTACCTGGGGTGAAGGGGGCAGGGGTTGGAAAGAATCATGCCACAGCTACTGTGAAAGGGCATGTTTTGGGTAGAAGGATGCAATGAGCTCTTTCTAACCAAATTCCACTGTGGTAAGGTAGATGAATCAATCATTCTGTCGGTAGGTGGTACAACAGAGGTCTGTCATCCACCCAGTTAATGCCATGCTCTGCATGGTCTTTGTTGGTAAGTAGATATGAAGTAACATAAATAGCTTCTAAAACTGGGCCATAAATTGGGGATTGCCATAAAACCACCTTTAATGCTTTGAATAGAAACTATGAAGGACATCTAGGATAGTATAAAAGTACTTGAGTGGCTCTTCCATCCCCCCAAATTGGTGGTAGAGATTTCTCAGTATTACAAGCTTCCCTGTGAATCAGGGGTGGTCACACAAATCTTAGTTATTCACTAATTTGCCCATTGCCTGTTTGCTGCAACTGGGGCTGACTGGCCACAATGTTTTCAGGGTGAAGAATTTCTAGAATGAGTCTACCTTTGTGGCTCCCAGAAATCTACCTTCTAGATTGGGGTATTTGCAGCCATGCATGGTGACTAATGCCTGTAATCCTAGCACTTTGGGAAGCTGAGGTGTGACAGCATGAGCCTGTGGTCCCAGCTACTCAGGAGGCTGAGGTGGTTAAGACTGCTTAAACTCAGGAGGTTGAGGGTGCAGTGGGCTGTGACTGTGCCACTGCACTCCAGCCTGGGTGACATAGCAAGACCCTGTCTCAAAAAACAAAAATACAAACAAACAGAAAAAATGACTCATGGCTCCTATCTATATCATCTTCCCTGATACAAAGAAATTGTCAGTGTTATGGGAGGAAGTGGACAGAAGCATTAGCCCAGGAAAGCAGACCAATCCTCAAGGCATGTTTTCCATGTGGAAGCAGTTCCTTTGGCTCCATGTCCAAAAATACCTTCCTTGAAGTGGTGCACTTGTTCAGAATTCTGAACATGGGAAGTAGATGGGGCATGAGAGAACAGCAGGACCTAGCACTGGTTGTAGATTGCTGATGTTAAGTGGAGTGCATGGATTTTTCTAGAGATAATAATAATAAAAATAGCTAGTGAATGTGCTTGGCACAACTCTAAAATGTAGGTGCCATTATTATTTCCCAAAGAGAAAACAAGCACAGAAAAGTTTAGTAATTTTCCTAAGGTTACATAACTAGCATATAGTAGGGTCATGAGTTTAACCCAAGTAGTTTGGCTCCAGAGCCCATTTTCTTAACCACCATCATAACATCATCAGGCTTCCCAGGAAAGACAAAGGACGAAGGGAAAACATAGACTGTTTGAACTAGCCCTTTGATGGGCTCCTTTGTCTACAGATCAGTAGGGATCCTGTCAAGGGAGTCTGCTCACCTGGCGCAGCCTTGAGTTAGGTGGGTGACATGACATCATTGGCTTGATCCACAGGCAGAACCCTGCCTCCCTGAGCTCTACTAAAATGTGTAATATCATTTCCTATGGCCAGGATGAGGGAGCAGAGGCCTGGAACTTGGTGGGTAACTGCCAATGGCTTGGATCAGTCACTGTGTGGAAGAACAGTGCAGAAAGGCTAAACCCTTGTGGGAAAAGTGCCTGTCTGCTGCAGTACAGACAGTCACCCAGCTTAGAGGTGGACCCACTCCTTAAGCTTAGAGTGTAGCTATGAGTATCAAGAGTACCTTCCTGTTCTAATTTCATGTGGAGAGGGGATGGGGTTGTGTTTTCTTTTTTTTTTTTAATTTAGATGGGGTTTCACCATGAATGCCAAGCTGGTCTTGAACTCCTGACCTCGGGTGATCCACCCACCTTGGCCTCCCAAAGTGCTAGGATTACAGGCGTGAGCCACTGTGCCTGGCTGGGTTGTGTTTTTATTAAGACAGGCTCTTGCTCTGTTGCCCAGGCTAGAATGCAGTGGCACAGTCACAGCTCACTGAAGCCTGGAACTCCTGGGCTCAAGTGATCCTCCTGCCTCAGCCTCCTGAGTAGGTGTACAGGCGTGTGCCACTACACTTGGCTAAAAAAAATTTTGGAGGGCTGGGCAACATGGTGAAACCCTGTCTCTACTAAAAATACAAAAGCCGGGCATGGTGGTAGGCGCCTATAATCCCAGCTACTCAGGAGGCTGAGTCAGGAGAATTACTTGAACTCAGGAGGCGGAGGGTGCAGTGAGCCGAGATCACACTGTTGCACTCCAGCCTGGGTGACAGAGTGTGAGACTACATCTCAAAAAAAATTTTTTTTTTTTTTTTTGTAGAGAAGGCGTTTCTCTGTGTCAGCCAGGCTGGTCTTAAACTACTGGGCTCAAGTAATCTTCCCGCCTCGGCCTCCCAAAATGTTTGGATTACAGGCATGAGCCATCACACTTAGCTCCAAGGTACATTTCTCTAACTTCAGAAGGTTTATACATTTAGAAAGGCAGAGGGGCTCAGGGGCTCTGGCCAATTCATTCTTGGCTGAATTATGCCACTCATGCTCCTGTTTGAAAAGCCAGAACAGGCTGGGCACGGAGACCCCCAGCACTTTGGGAGGCCAAGGTGGGCGGATCACTTGAGGTCAGGAGTTTGAGACCAGCCTGGCCAACATGAAGAAACCCCATCTCTACTAAAAATACAAAAATTAGCTGGGAGTTGGGGCACACGACTGTAGACCCAGCTACTCAGGAGACTGAGAGAGGAGAGAGAATCACTCGAACCCAGAAGTCAGAGGGTACAGTAAGCCGAGATTTCGCCACTGCACTCCAGCCTGGGCAACAGACGGTCTCAAAAAAAAAAAAAAAAAAAAAAAAAAAAAAACACCAAAAAAAAAAAAAAATTAAAAGCCAACAGTGCCCTCTGCTGGAGTC